CAGAAAAGGACACCGGCTATGGCAGACACCATGATTGGCACGTCTAACATGATGAGCTGCTCGTCATGCTTTCGGCACTTGGTTGGGGGAGGGCACTATCTTCCTCACTTTCTCCTCCCCGGAGAACCTCTGCTGGAGCTGCGTGCAGGGGTTTGCTGGTTTCTTCACCCCGTGTGTTCCCCGTGCCCGGGAGAGGATGCAGGCTCTCTTTAGGGACACTGAGGTGGCACTGTCCAGGGGATGCGTCTGGGCTGGGTGGAATCATGACCTCTCAAGGAGCAAGGCGTTCTCTGAAAATAGGTTGTGGTGGGCCTGCTCCATGTGTGCCCACTGCCTCACTTCGAGATGCTTCATGCTACCAGAACAAGTGTGGGGTATGCAGGTGTGATGGAAGAGGCAGTAAGATTCCACAGCCTCGAAGGGTTGGGAAGCCACTGGTCGAGTGCAGAGTGCCTGGGGTAGGTTTTAGGAGACCAGTTTTCCAGTTCTGGCTCAGCCGTGGGTTGTGAGGACATGAGTAAGTCACTCAGCCTCTCTCTGCCTCACGATAATAATCTGCACTCATACCTACTTCCTAGGGCTGGCGTAAGAACTGAGGGCTCTGGATTCCCTAGCTGGGGGGTGCTATAATTATAAGCATTATTATGAGCCTTGAGTGTGGTTCTGCCTAGAGGTGGGGTAGACAGTGGCTCTCAAAGTTTAGTGTGCCTAAGATTTTGTAGGTCTGGGTGGATCCAGAGAATTTGCATTTCTAACAAGCCTCCTGATGATATTGATGCTGCTGGTCCCTGGACTAGCAAGGGCAGTGGAGTAGCAAAGCCCTAGAGTATGTAACCCTCCTACATCCAGGGTTCTCAGGGTATGTTTTCCCGGCTGGTCCCCAGGAAGCCTTTAGTCAGCAGAGGGAAGGTAGGGAGAGAACCCTCCTCCCGTGTGTCATGCACTTTACATACGTTGTCTAATTTATATCCCACAACAACCCTTAGGAGGCCAGTGGTATTCTCATTCTGCAGAGAAGAAAACTGAGGCTCAGAGAACTTGAAACTTGCCCAAAGTCACACAGCAAGTGCCAGAATCAGGATTCAGACCCAGGTCTTTCTGACTCCAATGCCAATGGCTATCTCTTCCACCATATTATAGCTCTCAAACTTTCCTTTATCTAAAAATCACCCACGGTCCTCTTAAAAACACAGGTTTCTGAGCCTTTCTCTCAAATTCTGTTTCAGTAGGTCTATGAAAGTCAAGGTAGCAGCACTTAAAAAAATCACCCTGGTGATTCTAAAGCTGAGCATCTGCAAAGCACACCTTGAGAGGGGGAGAACCCCCATGCTGCCTCGCTTGATGTTTCAGGTGCAAAGCTTTAGTCCAAATTCTCAAACTTCAGCATGCATTAGAATCACCTGGGGAGCTTGTTGAAACACAGATTCCTGGACCTGACCCCCAGAGTATCTGATTCCCTAGATCTGAGGTGGGGCCCAAGAATTTGCATTTCTAACGAGTCGCAGCTGATGCTGATGCTGCAGGTCCGGGGACCACACTTTGAGAACTACTGTCCCAGAAGCTTGCTGTCACAAGTGTGATCCATGGACCAGTAGCATCAGCCTCACCTGGAAGCTTAATGCAGCATCAGTCCTCATCTCACACCTACTGAATCAGAATCTACATTTTAACACAATCCTCACGTGATCTGCATGCACTTTAAAGTTTGAGAAGTGCTGCCTTAGAGGAGCCAGAATGAGAACACGTTGGGGGTGGAGGTAGATGAAGAATCTCTCTTCTTCCCATAGAGTCTGAAGATGCAACAAAGAGGAGCAAAACTGTTAGGCTGTGCACCCGAGAGGGCTGATGAGGACAGCTGAGAGGTGAGACTCGAGAAGGACAGGGGACTCCTCCCCAGGGAAGGTGGAGGAAACAGGAAAATGCTGAGGATATGAGGTGGGCCTCAGAGGAAAGGCTTCATCAGGCGCATCCGTCTTGTGCATAGACAGTGGAGAAGGAATTCTGTTGAGTGCACAGCGGTGGGGAGGGAACGCTGGGCTGAAGCCTTCGGCGGGGAGGACAGCAGTTGTGAGGAGTGTGATGGGTGAACACATATGGAATAAACAGCTTGCTGAGCAGCTGTGAGGCCCGGCTGTGGTGAGAAAGTGTGAGTCTGCAGGGACTGAACAAGGCCGGTGTTGGACTTTGCCCCAAAGTGCTGAGCAGCGGAAGAAACCAACAGTCACATAAGGCGAGGGAAGGGGCCACGAGTGGGCATAGGTCACGGCGGGCCAGGGGTTGATTGGTAGGTTACACACAGTGGAAGGTCTAGAGTGTGTGGAGAGTGGAAGGAATAGATTCCACTAGAAGATCCTTGGGCTGTTAATCTTTAAATTAAAAAGTGGGGGGCAGTGGGTGGGTAAAGAAAATCCCTCAGAAGGCATAGACTGTCTGTTTCTTCCTTGGTGCATTTGAAGAGCCAAAACTGAAGCATTTTACTTCTCAGAGATGTTAAAACAAATTTTATTGGGTGGTCAGGAGGGCCTAGGTTGCAAGGTGGTGGGGGGCGTGTGGGTGCTTGGAGCCCCCAGAGCTCCCCAGCCTTGGTCCCACCACACAGCTGAGAAGTGATGGAGGAGGGGAGAAGGACTCGGGCCCAGTGCTCACCCCGAGGGTAGCTGCACGTCGTCTTGTCAGTCCTGCCTCTCTAACAGCCTGCGTTCATTCTCAGGGAGAGTTCCCCTCTGTTGGGGGCTCCTCTCCCAGCTGATCCCTTCTCAGGGACCCACAGAGAAACAGGACACCAAATGTAGTTGAGGCCTGTCTGCCTACTTACCACACAACTCTCCTCTCCTTCCCCCAAGAAGCAACGCGAGGGGTCGCATGGGCTCTGGCATCAGCAGGCCTCTCTGCTCCTTGCCGTGCCGACCTTGGGCCTGTTATCATGCCTCCTGGCCTTGTTTCCTTTCCACTGAGCTCTGTAAGGGCAGGGACAGGTGCCTTTTTTGCCACTCCATCTGCACCTAGCACTGTGCAGGGCACAAAGTAAGTTCCCATAGAAGTTTGTGGAATACAGGCAGCAGAACCTCCCTTGTGACCACTTTGCACAAAGCACTGTCCTTCACCAGGTTTGCTGGGCTGGGCCTCTTACAAAATGAACAGAATCACTGGTTCTCCTGGAAAGAAGGCGATGGACCAGGAAAGAACGAGAATTTCTTGATTCCTTCCTATGCCAGGTATTGGGGAGAAGCATTTCTTGACAACTGTTTGTCTCGAGAGGGGTGAGCATGCTACTGCCCCACCACAGCCAGGTCCCCCTCTCCTCCTTTCTGTCTCCTCCTCCTGACTTTCTCAGCACACTTGGAAGAACGGCTGCCAGACATTGCCCGTTTGGAAAAGTACAGCTCGATACATATGAATCAGCTTGGGCACACGAAAAATGATTCACGTCTGACCAGCTTGGTTGAGTTCTGGTTGTCCGTTCTGAATCTTTTTCTCTCTTCTATTAAATGATTGGTCTCGACGGTGAGAGAGAAGAGCCTGAATTCAATCTGTCTGTATTTCTGGAAAGCTGGGGACAGGATAGATACGTGGAGAAGTATTCCCATTGGCAAAGAACTAATGCCAACGTGGAATGGCAGTGGTGGGGGGCAATCTGGCATCTTTAGGGTCTTCAGGGCTATGCTGTACAGCCTAGTGCCTACCGTACAGAACTGTCTTTACTGTGTTCTCCACCTGAAAACTGCTTAACGATGCCCATTCCTGACTTGTCTCCAGGAAGTGTATGAAGACTGAAGCTTAATTCACCTTTTAGACACAGCTCTTGAATCACCAGGCACAGTTAGGGCTGGGGAGAGGTGAGGTGACAAAAACATCTCCCCTCATCTCTCTGTCACCACTTACACTTAGGCCTGTGTGCTGCTGGTGGTGCTGACTTCTCTTGCTGCAAATTTCCCCAAATACGTTCTGCCCTGGGCTGCTTTGCCAAATCCGTTATGTTTCCTGTGTCTTGTGGCCGCTTAGCTCCTCAAGTCTTTCGGCGGATGAGCCTGAAAACCTTGTGTGGGGTTGGTGGATGGAACCTTCTCCCTCCCCGAACGACACACTGTGCTGCTGCCTCTTCATCTGGTCATTGGTGCTCACTCACGAGCACCCCCGTGGACCGGGACTGTACTCGGCTATAATGATAGCTGCAGTCGATTGAATATCCACTGGGTGCCAGGCACTGCATCTCATTTGGTCTTCTCAGTGACCCTCTGAAATGATGGGTAATGTCCCCATTTTACTGATGAGGAAATGGAGGCTCCAAGAAGCAAGGTGCCCAAAGTCATAGCTATGGGTTAAGTGGCCAGAGTAGGATTCAAGCTCAGGCCTGACTTCATACCCTGTGCTCCTTCTAGTAAACAACAGTGCCTCCTACAGTAAATGGGTCAGTCAACACCACAGATCCACTAGGCTTCTCCTTGGTGGGCCTTCTCCAGGTGCCGAGGGCTTCATACACGCCATGCGGTTGAAACAGTCCTGCTCTCTGTAGGGTCTGTGTGCCTTCCACACATTCACAGCAGTGCTGCAACCCCTCCTGGTTACTAATAAGGCAGAGAGAGAAAAAACCCAGGCAAATGAGGTGGATTCTATTCCCAGGGATGAGGGTTCCAGCAGGGATGGATACAAGCAGTTCTCTCCCGAAGTATAAATAGGCAGACTTCACACGTGCACAGAGTGAAACACGTTCGGGGCTAAGTGAGGCAGTGATGGAGTCGATTCCTCCGTATTCACGCATGTTCACTTCCGGTGCCTCCAAGCCCTTTACTGCTGGCAACGTTCAGCTCGGGGAGGAGGGGAAGCCCCATTCAAAGCCCGAACCAAAACTGTAGTTTTTGGTTCAAGAAGGCCTTACCTCATGCCATCTTTCTGCCACATTAAACAAAAGGAGATCCCTTCAAGGGTGAGTGTGCTGGGCCTTACTGCTCAGTTCTCAGCAGGTTCCCTTCCTAACTTTCTTGCTCTCTCCCTTTCCCCAGGTGTTGACTTTAAGATGAAGACCATAGAGGTAGATGGCATCAAGGTGCGGATACAGATTTGGTGAGTTGGGCTGCTCCATGGCTGCCACTGCCATGTGTAGAGTCCTGAGGCTTCCTCTGGGATAACTGGCCACCTCTTCCATGGAGAGAAGCAGAAGTCTCAAAGCCCATCTCCTGCTCCTATGAGCCTTAATCTCTGACCCCTTTCTTAAGAAACTTTATGGGATTGACCGCAAGTCACCAAAAGGCAGGAATTAGGAGGAAGTGGCAAACTAGCCACTGTGGGTTTGTCTTAGAACAAAGCTGTACCCTTGGGCTGCGCCACACTGTGGTAGGACGGGAAGGAGGGAGGGCTATACCCCCTCATTCAGGGTGCGAGTTCCTCAGTACAGCATGGTGCAGTTCCTACACGTAGCCACAGGGGGCTGCTATGGCTCTGTGGCCTGACGCTCCTGGAAGCTGCCTCCCCATTCTGGAATGGTGTGGGCATTGCCTTCAGAGGTCCCGTAGGGACCGGAGGTGGAGCAGTCCAACCAGCCTGGCCACAATGGCCAGATTCTGGAGAGAGTTGTCCAAGGCCCAGTTACAGTTGTGCCTCCTCGTGCAGATATAGCTGACAGGGCCCCACAAGCCCTGTCAGCAGCAGGTGACCAGGCCTCTCTGCTGCAGAGTCAGATGCGTTTGGATCCCCCTGATTTTTCACCTGCAGCTCCCCAGTTTTTCCTGTTCCTCCCCTCCCCACCTGCTCCCATGGTCCTTGCTCTTCTGAGGGACCGGCTTTCTACTGCAGGGACACGGCGGGGCAGGAGAGATATCAGACCATCACAAAGCAGTACTATCGACGGGCCCAGGTGAGCCGCCCTTTTCAGGGTTTAGAGGTGGGATGCTGCCACCCATACTCCCGGCTCCGGGTGTTTTGAGATATCTGTGCCACTGACCCCCAAAATAGGGCCCTTGAATTGCCTGCTGGGGAGGGGTGCCTCAGGGCAGTCTTTCAGGTGTTCACTGAACATTCATTCATCAGTTATTCTCTGAGCACTCACTACAGGCACGTCTGCAACCCTCACCTTCTACCCTAGACCCAAGACCTGGGTCAAAGAATTTGGTAGCTTCCTACCTCAGAGAGTTCTGTGATCGGACTAGGAAGCAGTAGCTTTGGGAGTCTGAGAGAGAAGGAGACGTTTCTGAGTGCTGAGGGATTCTCATTATGCTAAGCAGGGAGCAGGGAGAGTGGGACCCAGTGTTTAAGGTACCACACCCGCTTCTGGCCCATGACTGTGCACTGTCTCTGTGCGTCAACCTCCCCCATCTCTCTCTCCTTCTCTTTCCCTCAGGGAATATTTTTAGTCTACGACATTAGCAGCGAGCGCTCTTACCAGCACATCATGAAGTGGGTCAGTGATGTGGATGAGGTAGGAGATGCTGCCTCACTCTCGGGGGTGGGGGAAGGGCACCTCAGAGGGGAAAGAAAAGTGAGGCCAGTTGGGAAGGGCTGAAGCTCTTGGGGTTGGCGAGCAAATGCTACCAGGAAACCTTGCCTTCCACAGCCCCGGATGAAGACCTCTGGGTGAGTAAGACATGGGGAAGAAGCCCAAGCTTCCATGCCCTCCATGCTCTGTACCCTGCCAGGCCTCCATGGCTGTTTCTTCCCCAGAAATAAGTTAGGTCAAAGCCTACCCTGTGAACAGCTTCCTTCCCAAACTCCGAGGACCAGGTGGAGTTGTGAGACGGGGGTTCTAGTCCTGGCTCTGCCACAAGCGCTGTGGAGCCTTGGGCAAGCCATTTGAACTGTCTGAGTCCCCAGTTCCTCATCTGTAGACTGAGGGGTTGGACTTCAGTCCAGTGCCCTTTCCAGCTCAGTTATCAGTTGTCCAACCTAAGGGAGCACCAGTACTAGCCAGAGTGTCTTCTACCCCAAGCTGTCGCCACAACACCCCTCTGGGACCCCTGGGGTCAGCCCTGGCACTTGGGGGAGACTGGCATCTGTACCCAGTCAGCCCTCTCTGTCCCTAGGGCTCTTAAATTTGGTGCCAGTGTGGAGGCCACTGTGGACTGTATGGTGGGGAGATGGGAGGGAAAGGCAACACTCACTGGCGGTTCTGCCCATCCTTTGTCCCTAGTATGCACCAGAAGGTGTCCAGAAGATCCTTATAGGGAATAAGGCTGATGAAGAGCAGAAACGGCAGGTGGGAAGAGAGCAAGGGCAGCAGGTAAGTGGGAATGAGCTGGCCAAATCCATCCCTCGGGTCTCCCGCTGCCTTCCAGGGCCACCCTCACATGTCCCTAGTAGCCTAAGGCCCTGGGTGAGTTGCCATTTCTGTCCTTCAGAACAGTGATTCGGGGTCCATCCTGAAACAAAGACCTCTTGGGCAGCAACTGTCCCAGCTCCAAGTCCCCCATAGCAGGATGACCTCTGCTTAAGGGTTCATCCCAGTGTTAGGATGAGGAAGGACTTCAAGTTGCTGACTTCTCTAACAGCATCCAGGCATAGCTACCATCTTACAGTCACCCTACTCCCTCCACACTCACTCCCTGTCCTCCTTACGCCTGGAAAGAGGTAGGAAGAAAATGAGTGAATGAAGAGCCCACCGTCAGAGAAGCCCTGGGGGCAGAGAGGGAATGTCCAAGCATACAGGGAGACCATCCTCCCGGAGAACAGAAACAAAGATGGATACTCCTGAGACAAGAGCCATCCACCCACTCCAACAGCCTCAAGAGCTTTTCTCTCCCTCTTCAGTCAATAGCATTCCACTAGCACTTAAACTTGATTTTTTTGGTGTAAAAAAGTGATCATGGTCATTGAAAAATTTGAAAGTAGAAGTAAACCCTACTAGAATAATAGTATTTACTGAGCACTGTATGGGTGGCCCAGTGCTAAGCAAGTGCTTTGAGATGCATGAGCCCATCTAATCATTCCGCTACCTTGGTTGGTAGACATTCTCCTCCTCCTTTACCAGATGATGAAGCTGGGGCCTAGAGAGAATCAGTAATTTGTCCAAGGTCGTGCCGCTGTTAAGTGGCAGCAGTGGTATCCAAGCCTGGGTCTGTTTGACTCCAAAGCCCATGTTTTTCATTAATTTGCCATGCTGCCACAACATTTTGGTGTCTCTGTCTCCTGATATGAGATGTGTGTGTGTGTGTGTGTGTGTAGGGGGGTGGGGGAATGGAGGAGTGTATTCGTGGAGTATCTTATACCATTCTCTGCTAGCCTGTGTCTTAGAAGCTCCCAGGCTCATCCGAGAAGTTACCTATCTGAGAAGTTGTCACAACACAGCATGGGCTGTGAGTGTGATGGCAGAAGTATGGGCCAGGTGCTCTGGGCATCTCCCTTCCCTTACTGACTCCCTTTCAGGAATGTTCTTCTCTTGCAGCTGGCTAAGGAGTATGGCATGGACTTCTATGAAACAAGTGCCTGCACCAACCTCAACATTAAAGAGGTGAGAGCTCTGGGCCCAGTTGCCCTGCCTCTTTGGATGAGTCCAGCAGAGTGAGGAGGTGAGCAGAGAAGGCAGCAGATAGGAGCCAAGATGAGATGAGACTGTGCCCCTTGGGCAGTTACAGGGTTGCCAGGGGAAGAGGAGTGGACGCTGGACTAACCTGTGCCCCTTGCTTTCCTAGTCTTTCACACGTCTGACAGAGCTGGTGCTGCAGGCCCATAGGAAGGAGCTGGAAGGCCTCCAGACACGTGCCAGCAATGAGTTGGCATTGGCAGAGCTGGAGGAGGATGAGGGCAAACCTGAGGGCCCAGCGAACTCTTCGAAAACCTGCTGGTGCTGAGGGTCCTGCGTGGAGCACCCACACGATCCCCCCTCCCTCAGGAAGCCAGCGGGCAGGCAGGGAGGCTGGGCTTTGCCCGGCCTCTCCTCTCATTTGGGTGACCCTGTTGAATACTAGTAGCTGCTATTCCCCCCGCCTGGTCCTGAGAGCAGCGCTGCTGTCATCTGCGAGCAGCCTCTGCCCCCAGTCCCTCTACCCTAGAGTGGTGTCCTCCAGCCTATTCCCCAGCTGCAGGCCTGCTGTGAGCCCCAAATGTGCCATGAGCACTGTCTCACCACCCCGAGCACCCTGGACAATGGCCGAGTCTGGAGTCAAGGCCACTTTAAGGCTCCTTCTTTCTCAGTGCATCTTGTCTCCTCTGCTTTTTTTCTCTTCTTCCCACTTGTCTCTCCGTCCCCTTCCCCTCCGGTGTGTTTGTATCACAGCCCCTCACACCCCTTTCCCTGTGTGTCTGCTGTGCGGCTGCTGGTGCAGCCTCTTTCTTTCCTTTCTCACTAACCCTGTCCAAGGGAGTGGCCTCAGGCTCGTGGGGATGTTCCGTGCTTTGCTCCGGGGAGAAGCCCTGCTGCTTTGTGGGTGGGCCAAAGGCTACGGGGTGCTTCTTCCTATCCTCCTTTCCTCCCCATCCCTTCTTGTGCCATGGGTCTGCCTCCCCAGTGACCTGGGGAAGCGGAACGTCAAGGTAGGAAGGAAACACCAAACTGGTGGTCCTCAAGCGGGGCCTGTCCTACCTCTCCCTGCCCGCCCCCAGCTTTGGCCTTGCTTGGCTGCCTGCCCACCTGCCTCTTGGGGGAACTGAGGTTGGAGGCAGGTACTTCAGAGAAGGAAAAAAGTGATGAGGGGTGGCAGGGTTAAAAAGTCACCTCCATTCTCTACCTCCCATGCAGCGTGTACACAGTTTCTCTCCACCTGGGCTCCTGAACATAAAGATGGAGACCAGGGCCTGAGGACACTGCAGGGGCAAGGAGACCCCTGGGGCCATGATACTGACAAGCCAACCACGCACTCCAGAAAGGCGAGTGCTTGGAAATGAAGGGTGAGCTCCTATATATCAGGTTAAGAGCAAGGGATTGCAGACCAGGGATGGCAGTTTGCAAACCAGAGGGAACATGGCAGCAGCAGGGCTTCCTGGGCCCCATCTTCCATTTCTTGTGGAAACGCCACAACTTTCTGGCTGGTCAGAGGTGACATAACCACGTTGGTGGTCTGTCACTGAACCCAGCCTTCAGCTCTCATGGTTTTCCTGAGACCCAAAGTTTGTGGAGAAGGACTTCATGGGAAGGAAGAAAGAAGGCCCCAGGTAGAAATGCTTGGTGCTGTTCTCTTCAGCCTTCACGACAAAGTGCTCCTCTTGCCCCCCTGGCTCCCAGGGACGAGACTTGAGGGTGTGCCAGCTGCACTGTGGCTACAGGTGGAGGGAAGCGGACTCCCTCCTCCAGAGCTCTTTGTTCAGGAAGAAGTTTCTTTAACCCCATGTGGCCCAAGAGTGGCTTGAAGGAGGCCCTTTAAGGAAGGAACAAGTCAGGTACCAGCCTTAGTAGGGTTCCTCCCTACCTTCCCAAGATGGAGAAGCCCAGGTAGGAGGATCATCCTTAAAACCACACATTAGCCGCACTGCAGGGCTGGGGCTGGAGCTAAAACAAAGAACTGGGCTGTGAACATTCACCAACGAAGGACCAAAACCCAGAGCTCACTGATGAACCAAGGGCTTAATCTGTGAAAGATTAAGAGCCCCACTTCCTTACTTCTCCAAAAAGGGGGTGGGGGATGAAATCACCAAACCTTTCCTCCTGGCTCTTATGAAACCAGGAGAGCAGGAGAGGGTATCTCAGGGTGTAGGAACGGGGGATGGGTTAGCACAGCGGAAGGAAAAGGAGGGCAGGAGTAGTTAGAAATCGTTGGCTAATGAGAGACTTCGAGAGCTTTTTAGGATGACGTCACGACTAAGGCTGGCGTTGCTTCCTTGAGGACTGACTCCTCAGGTGTCAGGACATGCAGCATCAGACTGAGGGGAGGGTGGTGATACCAACCCTCGGTGTGCCCTCAGCCAGGGACTTGAGTCAGGGGAAGTTCTAGTGGGCATTAGCGCCAACCTGTGGGTCAGTGTTGCAGCTTTCCCTGGAGATCAGGCAGAGCACCATTGCCTTCTCTCCTAGGCCCCTCGGGAAAGAGGGACTCGACTTTTGCTGTATCCTAAGGGTTCAGGAAGGGAAAACATGGGGCCGGGACTCTGGCTTGAGTAGCCCCATCCACAACGGCCACAGCTGGGGATAGAGACGGGAGCAGGAGGAGGGTTGGGATTTGCGGAGCAGCTCTGCTCACCAGGTACCAGAGTCGGCCTCACCCCTAAACTTCCCCAGTCCAGGAGGTGGCCTGGGACCTGGCATTCAGCCCAGCCTGTTGAGCAGGGAGTGCCTGTTTCCTCCTTGCCACCTCCTCACCTGCTGTCTTGAGACTCAGCCCCAGGCCCTCCACCTGCTCCTGAGCCCCCACCATCTCCCTATGACGGGTGAACTTTGTGTACTGTGTCTCGGGTCCAGTATATGAATTGTCAGCAGGGTTCATCTATTTTAAACACAGATGTTTACAAAATAAAGAATATTTCAAACCACAGGTGTGGCTGCCTGTATGAGTCCCTGGGAGTAGGTCTCACTTGGACCCTGGCGGTTAAGGGGAAGGGGGAGAGGCAGTGCTGGTGGAAGAGACTCCAGAACCCTAAAGCAACAACAGTAGAATGACAATGGAAGCCACACACTTCTTCCGGTTTGTACCTTTCCTAATGCCGCCTGCACAGGAGCCCCAAGCAAAGCCCCCATTGCTCTGCAGTGGGCTTACCCTGCAGAAGTAAGATCAAGTGGAGTCATTGCGAGGGTGCTCAATATCTATGTCTGAGGGAGTCTTGAAAGCCAAGAAGGTTCTCATCTGTCTGGGATGGAACAGGAACAGGTCTTCCTGAAGGCACGAGGAGGGTTCAAGTAACCTTTCAGAAGTTCATCCTAGCCCTGTGATTGCATACCCTGGGGGAGAAAGGTAGACTGGAATCCCAGGGCCTGGGGTATTGAATACTATACTTTGGGGTATGGAGTTGATAGAAGAGGCAGAGCATGTTTGGGGGTAAGGATAGAATGAAGAAGGGAGGAGTAAAACATGGCAGGACAGTAGCCTAAGATCTTAACCTGCACTTTCCAGTTTACAGAGCACTTGTAGTACTGTCCTCCATCCTAACCATATCTGTGTGCGATAAGGAGGGTGATTATCCACGTTCAACAGATAAGGAAATAGGTGCCTAACGGCCCCAAGTAACAGTGGTAGAGTGACAGAAAGCAGCGAATTGGAATCTGATGGGTAAAGCTTGACCATCTCTATTTATAAAAATCTCTATAAGCAATTTTCTTTTGCAGCCAGAGTTGAGAACCACTGACCTAGGCTTTCTGCCTACTAAGCCAGTGCAGTTTCCAGAACGACTACCGTCCCTGTGAAAAGCTGTGGGAATCACACACTTGTTAGTGCATGTCCAAGGTTATAGCTTCTGGAACGTGGGCAAGTTTGAGGTAAAGTTGGAGACAAAGGTATTTTAGGAGAGCCTCATCAATTTTATTCAATCGTGAAAGGTGAGAACCTGGGTGACTCAAAGGGTCCTAGGTTGCACCTGGAGAGAAGGGATGGCGTGTGCCTAAGAAAGAGGGAACCCCACTCCTCAGCTCAGAAACTTCCATGGTCTTCCTGGAGAGGGGTAGCCTCTCCACACTGCCTCTCTGCCCACAGAAGGCAGCCAATGAGAGGTGTCTGGAAGCCCAGAGAGTATTGGGGAAGCTCTAGGCTTGCAGGTAAATCTGGCAAATGCATGGTAAAGCTTATCTCGCTGTCAGGGCCAAGTTCTGACTCAGTGGCTTGGTAGGGACATTTATTGGCTGCTTCTAGGAACTCCATCCAGCCTCAGCAGGGTACACACTTCACGCTGCATTTCCTGCCACCTCACCTCTTCTAGTGGCAAAAGAGTCAATTCCCACTTAGGTAATGGAGGCTTGTTTTTAGAGAGCAGCCAGGTGAGACATGCGAGCCCACATGCTATAAACAGCCATGGAACAGGCTACAAAAGACAGAAAAGCTGGGCACTCCCTGGCAAGTAGTTCCTCCATCTTCTCAACAAATCAGATTCTCAAGACCAGCTGCTCCCCAGCCTTGCTTATTCTTTGTTCTAGGAGACAGTTCCCAAAGGAGAGTACCTGTGAAAACACTCTCTAGTCAATATTTGCATTGCTATTGAAATTTCACTCTAAAACTCCAAAGCCGGGTAAAGCCTAGTTGCCACTTTTACTGGCATGGAGAAATCCAGGCATTAAAAAGAAAAAGGGATTTGTTGAGTTGGTGGGTGCTTGGAAGAACGAAGTAAAGCATGAGGTGTTTTTAGCTTCTGTGGGCTTCCAGGGGTGTGCTCCCATGATAGCCCTTAGCAGGTCCCCAGACGACCTGCAATTCATTGCATGGCTGGTGTTGAAAACATCCTGGGTGGCCTCGCTGGGTCTAGAACAGCAGCAGCTTCAACTCCCTGCACACGTCCTTCTGTGGGAATGAACAGCACAACCCCCTCTGGAAAGTCTTCCGGACTGAGCCTTTGTCTAAGAGGAAATAGGTGCGGGCTTTCCCCTCTGAGTTTACCCAGTGCTCTGTGACTCCTCCTGACTGCATCCTCATGACCCTGTGGGGGCAGGTGTGGGGTGTAGTAGAGGAGATGGGACCGTGCAGGGGTGAAGGCAGATGTGCTCTCCAGGACAAGTAACATCACTCACTGAAAGACTTTTCAAGACAAACTTCATCCCTTCAGCTTGGTGCAAGCTGAGGCACTGCAAGTCATTATTGCTAGAAAATCGCACACTGCTCTCCTAAGGGTCCCTTTGATTTTGTGCCTGTGGAAAGCAATGAAGAGAAAAATGTGAACAGTAATATGTACATTTCAGTTATAGTCTGAGTCAAGGGACATGCGCCCCAATTCTCTTCCTCAGCTTTCAGATCTCGGCGGACCGTGACCTCTCAATTGCACAGCGCAGAGCTTGGCACTCAGCAGGCACTCAATAAATGTCTGTGCCAGGTGAAAACAACTTGCTGGGGCAAGTAGGAGTCAATCCTGCATCCCTCCCTCCCTTTTTTCCTCCTCATTTGACCTTTGGGGCTCTGGTTTCCTGCAAGTAGTGAATAATTCATGTCTGCTCGTAGATATCAAATTGGCCCTTCCCAGGGTGCCAGCAGGGTGGGGCAGGAGGTGGCTTTATTCAGAGTCTGTAAATAGGAGGAGCAACTTCCTTGTTCCAACAGCTTACAGGTGGCTGACTGTTTTTGCTAAGTCATCCTGGGGATGCTCAAAGCCCCACTGGGAGACCCTTCCTGCTCCTCCTTCCTTCCCACTCCTTTAATAGACCCTTCAGTGGGCTCACCCCACTCTGGGGCTCACTCTGAACTTGCACCATGGCTTACATTGCTAAGTCCTTCTACGACCTTAGTGCTATCAGCCTGGATGGGGAGAAGGTAGATTTCAATACATTCCGAGGCAGGGCGGTGCTGATTGAGAACGTGGCCTCGCTCTGAGGCACAACCACCCGGGACTTCACCCAGCTCAACGAGCTGCAATGCCGCTTTCCCAGGCGCTTGGTGGTTCTCGGCTTCCCGTGCAACCAGTTTGGACATCAGGTGAGGGGTCCCTTGTATTGTACCCAAGGAGTTGGGTCACTGTAGCTCTAGTAGGCTAAGGGGAGGGGGAGAATAACGATGTGTGTTGGAGTGTCTGGAATTGTGGGGTATGTTTTGTTACTCTAGGTCTTTAGGTACATGTGAATACCAAGGGGAAGTATATATGATTCTCTAACTGTCTGTGATTAAACACCGAGGGTGTGGATTTTTATTGTTTATTGTCTTTCCACTGTATTCCATGAGGGCTGGTACCAGGTCTGTTTTTCTCTCCACTGTGTCCACAGTGCCTAGGGTATAGAAGGTACTCATTAAATATTTGTTGAATCAATAAGTGGAGGAATTAGAAGATCAAGAATCAAACTAGGATTGAACTGACTCAGGAGACCTTAGCTCTAGCTAGACTTGCTTCTGCTATTTAATGGCTCTGTGCCCTAGGAAGAGTCACTCAATTTTTCTGTTTTAGTTTCCTCATCTGTAAATTGGGGATAATACCACTTATCTCATAGGGTTATTGTGAGGTTCAGAGAATAAAATCTACAAAAGTAACTTGAAAAATATAAAGTAATATGCAAATACAAGCAACTTTTATTATTTGGATTGAAGGATTTTATTTGTTTTAAATCAGCCAAGTGGAGAGTGAATTTGGGAGAAAGCTAAGGGTTTGCAATGTGCATGTGTTTCCGCTGGGCATCACATGGACTTTTGTCTCTGATTGATGGGTTAGGTTGTTATGGGTCTTCAGCCCACACACCTCGAGTTGTCTTTTAGGGATTCTTCTGTTTTCACTTATTATTTTAATAGCACAACCAGGCAGAATGTCCTCAAGTGAACCCTCTAATTATAATCCCCTTAGTTCAATTCAAGTGGCATGAAGGCAAGGAAAAGATTAGCAGAGATATAAGCAG